AACTGGCTTAATTCCATGGCCCATTTAAGGAGTTTACCCGAGGCTTCTGGCTTCTGGAGGACCTGCTTGATGAGATAATTAGTCATTACGTAGATCGTATGGGCGTGGAAGTAAGGCCGCAGCTTTCTGGAAGCGATCAATAAGGCATAGGCTAATCGTTCCATTTCCGGATACTGCATCTCAGCATCCGACAGGCGCTTGCTCGCATAGTAAACAGGCCATTGAACTTTTTCCTCTTCTCAAACTAGAGCTGCACTGACCGCGAACTAAGAGACGGACAAGTACAAGGGCAAGATCTCTTGCGGAAGAGACTTGGAGAGGAGAGGTGGCTTCCCGAGGTGTTCTTTTATACTTTGAAAAGCCTGTTCACATTCGGGAGTCCATTCGAATTTCTTATTGGCCTTCAGAACATTGAAAAATGGCAAGCAACGATCTGTTAACCTCGATATGAAACGACTAAGTGTCGATATTCGCCCATTAAGACTCATGACCTGTTTTTTGCTAGTTGGGCTTTCCATATCGAGGAGAGCTTGAATTTTTTTGGGGTTGATTTCTATTCCCCGCCGGTTAACCATGTACCCTAGGAACTTACCCGAGGATACCTCGAACGAACACTTGAGCCGGTTCAGTTTCATTCTGTACAGCCGGAGGATATCAAAGATCTCTACGAGATATGCTACGTGATCTGAAGCGACATGGGATTTGACCAGCATGTCATCTACGTAGACCTCCATTGACTTGCCGATCTGGTCAGAGAACATTCGGTTAACTAGCCGCTGGTAGGTCGCGCCAGCGTTCTTGAGGCCGAAGGGCATGACCTTATAGCAATACAGTCCCCGATCTGTAATGAAATATGTGTGCTCTTTGTCTGGCGCATACATCAGAATCTGATTATACCCCGAGTATGCATCCATGAAACTTAGCAGCTCGTGCCCCGAGGTAGCATCCACGGGATGGTCAATTCTTGACAGGGGGAAGCTGTCTTTAGGGCAAGCTTTGTTGAGGTCGCTGAAGTCGACGCAGGTTCGCCACTTGCCATTGGGCTTCTTTACCAGAACCGGGTTGGCGACCCAGATCGGGTATAGTACCTCCCGGATGGATCCGTTATTGAGGAGGTTGTCCACCTCTAGCTTTAGGGCGGAGTACCACTCTGGATCCATCGCTCTTCGTTTCTGGCGAACTGGTTTGGCTTCACTATCGATATTTAATGCATGGAAAATGACATCCGAGTTGATCCCGACCATATCTGCGTGTGACCATGCGAACACATCGATGTTTTCCCTGAGGAAGCCTATTAGTTCGGTAGCAAGCTGGGGATTGAGATTTTTACCGACTCTTAACACCCTGCTTAGCTCTTTCTGGTCGACCAGCACTTCAGTCAGGTCCTCAACTGGCTCACTGGAAGGGCAGTCTTGAATGCGAGGGTCTAGGTTGTCCTCGGCCGGATCAGGTCGTGGATCAATCCTGCTGATTGCCATGGCCTGCTTATGATTGCCGCGTGCGGTGCCCTTTCCTTTATACGCTATCTGGACCGCTTTTACATAGCAGTCGTGCGATACGCGCTGAGATCCGCTAACTTCCCCGATCCCCGTCGGGGTGGGAAACTTCATCTTCAGATGGTAAATTGAAGTGACCGCCTTGAACTGTCTTAGCAGAGGTCGCCCAAGGATCCCATTAAAGGCTGATGGGCAGTCTACCACTAAGAACTCAATTACCTTGGTCACTTCGTCAAAATCGCCCAGCGTGACTGAGAGTGAGATTGTTCCCTTGGGAGTAGATGGTCTCCCGTGAATCCGTATAATGGGAACGAGGCAGGCTTCAGGTCGGTCTCGTCTAGATTCATCCTTTCAAAAGTGGATGCGAACAAGATGTTCACAGTGCTTCCGCTATCCACTAACATTCTCTGGGTATTATAGCGCCCTATCAGGGGAGTGATTACAAGGGCGTCGTCGTGGGGATGATGCAACCTGGCCACATCCTGTTCAGAGAAGGAGATTTCCACCTCCCTGCAAACCTTTTGTGGTCGCTGCTCCGCACTCATCACTCTAATGGGGTCGTGATGTGCTTTGCGAGCATACCTTTCTTGGGCACCTCGCGAATTTCCAGCGAAGTGCGGTCCCCCGAAAATCAAATTGAGACTGAATACCCCTTTCTGATCGCGACGCTTCTTATTCGACTCCCCCCGATCTTTCTCTTTCGAGGGAGCAGAGTCATTGATGTATTCCTTGAAATGCCCCTTCTTGACAAGATCTTCGATTTCTTGTTTCAAAGCTCGACACTCATCAGTATGGTGCCCATTGTCCCGATGATAGCGACAGTACTTTTTATTATTTCTGGCTGTCGCAGGGGTTTTCATGGGCTCAGATTGGCTTCTTCGGATTTATCAAGAATGGCAGATACAGAGGCGTTCAGTGAAGTATATTGGTGCCTGTCGCGATCGCGACGAGGAACAGATGCATAGGACTTTCTAGGCTCATAGCGAGGTTTTTTCCCTTTTCGCTGATCATCGGCGGCCCCTCCGTGATCAGCCCTTCGGCTTTCCCCCCTACCAGACATACTGCCAGAAACGCCGGAGTGCCGCCAGTGAATTTTCTATCTGGAGATATTTCTCCGCAAGGTTATAGAATATGGTGAGGGAAACATCGTCCTCAGCCTGTAATTCTTTCCACAGGTCGGTTTGCGGGCGAACTCCAGCTATTATGAGTGTTCAGATGGACTCTTCGGAAGCATGAGCCACCTTGTTGAGTTCCCTGTGGAAACGGTCAATGTAGGATTGTAGGGATTCATCCCTTTCTTGCCTTATATTGCTGAGATAGCTTAAAGGCATCGAAAACTTTCGATTTGCTTGGAAATGCCGAAGGAACGTCGTGCTCATCTGAGGCCACGAACTGATCGATCCCGCTGGGAGTGACCTTAACCACCGTTTGGCATGAGAAGTTAAAGTCACGGCCAAACAACGACATTTTGCAAGATCAGAAACCTGGTGAAGCTCCATCAAGTCGTTAAACTCATACAAATGATCCTACAGGTCATGGTTCCCATCAAACGGTCACATGTCGGGCATCCTGAACCCCGGTGGGAGTGGAGCAGCTAACACTTCGAGAGAGAAGGGGGATGCAGAGGTGACCTGGGCCTGCTCGTTTTGCTGCTCTCTCAGTCTGTCCAGAGCTCGCTGCAGCTCCTCAATTTGTGGTAACGGAGCCAGTTGGGGATTGCTTTCACCCATGCGAGTCCGGCCCTCACAATTACGGTTCAGGAAAGTCCTGAGGTCGGACTCCTCTTCGCCTCGGCCGGCACTTCCGGCCGCTCTCGACACACGCTGGCTATAGGCGTGTGAAGCGATAGATGGTGCGGGGTATTTTCACGACCCTCGCAGTGGTACAAACCGTCCCGCGAGGTGTAGGGACCACCCGCATGATAGCAATCAGGATCGTTCTGCTGGCGGTGATAAGAATCGCCCCGCCAGCACTTTTGCTTGGGTTCACCTGCGACGTGGAATGGGACAGCTCGGGATTTACTTTTTCGTCGAGTCTCAGCTTTGCCGGAACCCTGCTTGGGGCACGGTTTGTGTTCGCTGGCCCTTTGGAGCCCGTAGGCTTGCTTTTTGCCACTTGCTTACCCTTATGTCTACGTGCTGCAGTGCTCGCGACACTGGCTATTTCCCTTTACCGCGCTTTCGCGAGACCTGCAGGCGTTTTTGGCGGTTACACCGCCCCAGCTGTTCTAGATGGCACGCCTTGGTCCAAACGGTCCAACCTTTGGTTGACCGTCTAGAGAGTACTGTCGAACCTCTCTAGGTAGCTTCTGATGGCAGGGTCAAGCTGCGAAGTTGCTGGGATATCCACCGCAGCATTTTGTGGAACTGGAAGTATCCTGGAAGAGGTATCCCCCTGGGTTAGGGGAACTCCCTCAGCGCGTTGGCGGGCCATTTGTTGCTGTAGGACCAGTAGGTTAGAGATTCTCCTGATGAAGGATGAACACTAAATCGGGCCCTCCTTCTAGTGCCAAACTGTTGATGCGGATTTTGACACCAACTAATCGACACGTGCGCAACGCTGGTTGGCCATGAGACACACGTGTGAGTATGGATAAAGTGTGTAGTAAATGTAGTAGTGAGAGCTTTTTAAAGTAGTTTGGATGCTAAGGTAGCGAGTTCCACGTCCACCGATAGTTGTATTAATATTGTGGGTCAGGTCTCAACAGCGGACTGACTTACAAATGATTAGTGAAAAGTAAATGCAAAGATACAAGAGAGAGAGGGATAGCTAATTCAGAGTGTAAAATGGCCGAATCCCCTCAATGAAGGGTTCTTCTCCTTTTTATAGTGAGATGAATGTAAGTAATCATCATTAAATCTGTGGGTTGGTGTGAATGTCAGGACAAAATCATCTGGCTTTATGTCACATTGCCCACCTTCCAAACTGATTTCACGCGATTTGGAGCAGGGAATGGACACGTGGGATCTCCATAGCGTCTGGCAGGTCTGGCGCGCGCTTACCGTTCTGACGGGAGCATGTCACACTCCATCACGTGATTTCCCACGTCGGCCCTTGATTTTCCAGGCATAACAATTTCTAATGCGAATTAAACAAGTTACATGTGTGACGCTAATACGATATCTAATTGTTCATTTGCTCGTGTTTGATGAAGCCTTCGACTTATCCAATTTTTGTTAGGGGCTTGACACTTGATAGTTAAGTTCATTATTAAGCCAGCCTGGACTTTCCCTTGAAAATGCTAATCTATTTTTGATTAAACAAAACACAAAGTTAGCTGTATTTCGTGTGATACTGATACTTGAATTTGCTTGATGCGAATTATGTTGAACTAGACTATGGTGCCCACATTAATCCTGTCAATTTGGCATTTCATTAACATTAAGATAAATCCCATTTCACCATTTGAGCTATAATAGCTACTCTCTAGTTATTCGGTTCTCATGATTTATTTAAGAGGTCAAAAAAAAAAAAAAAAATTGAAATCACACCCATTAATATGGATTTGTACCAAAAGCTGTAGCAATCTCATTATAATTGAAACTTTCAAATGTCAATTCACTGATTACAAGTTGGATTTGCCAAAAACCAAAAAAAAAAAAAAAATTATTTTTTACATCCCCACAGGAGCAGAAAAGGTCTAAAAATTTCATATAAATGATAAATAACCAGATTTACCTCTTTATGCCATTGCCTTCTTGAGACAGTGCTTATGATCGATAATGACTTGACGATTATCCAAATGACTAAGTGGATGAAGCTCTTGATGATGATGATGTATTAATATTATTGCGGCAGAACTCAAAACTATTCTCATCCATCTTCTCCAGCACAAAATGTGCAAGTGTATCGTAATGTTCCACCAAATTTTCTCTGCACAAGAACTCATCACCGCACATTCTCTCCACCTTCCTATAATAATCATGCACAAAAATATGTGTCTTTGGATTCCCACTCTTCTTGCTCCTGGCAAGAACTCCAGCCGTGAAGATTGGAGACATCCTCCCTGGGCCTTCTGGCCCGTCTCCTCGCGGCCCATCAATCAATATCACATCCCAATCAACCTCATAAACATGGTTAGGCAAATCATTGAGACCAAGCTTGCACTCTGAGAACAATAGATTTTGCACTGGCCTGCATTCATTACGTACTTGTTCCTTCACTGAGGCTATCAGTTCTTTGGTTTCCCTCATCCTGGTGGTGTATTGGACATCGAAAACATCAATCTCAGGATGTAACTCTTCAAAATATGCAGCATAGTAGCGGTTCTCATCGATGAAAACAGTGCGACCATTGTGGTTTAGCGCTTTCCACAGAAGGGTTTCTTGAGTGAGGCCAAAAACGAGAAAGTTACAAGGAGATGAGCACTTGCGGAGGGCATCAGAGATTGGTTTGAGCTCAGCGTGTGTCATACGGAAAGAATCGTTTGATCTCGAGGCATAATGGAGGAGAGTGTTGATGACAGTCGTTGCTAATGGTGCATTGCCGAAAGTAGAAGAAACTGAAGAAGTTTTGGCGGCCATGGGGGTTTTAGTGGTGATTGTTTTAAGAGGTATGGACTCTCTTGTGTAAATAAGAGTGAGAAGAAAAGCAATAGTGAAGAATGATACAAAAGCAAGCAGCCATAGACGATTAGAAGTTCCTTGTTTTTGGATGTAAGGGTGGAGAAGAATCAGCTTTGTGTTGCTGTTGTTGTTCTTCATAGTTTTGCCAGAGAAAATCGGTGTCTTCTCTAGGTCTTTTGCGATGGTAGAGAAGATTTTGAATATCCTGATGGGATTGAGAAAAAGGGTTTGATTTTAAAGAAAGGAATTGCTCAAGGAAAATAGAGATGGTTGAAGAAATAGGGATTAGCAGAAGTTGAAGGTGACATTACAATAACCTAAATCATTATTCTAGAAACCAAAATGGTAGCATATGAAACACAATAAATGAATTTCTCTTAATTTAATATTTCTTGGTTTGTTTCCATGCAATCCTGACTGGGCAGTTCGGTTAATTTATCGACAAGAATTCAAAAAAGCAAAAAATTGGATGTGGATAGGAGGAGAAAACAAGGTGGTTGGGCTGGAGCTGGTGAAAGCAGGGGTAGCTGGTACAGTTGCAGCGACCCAATAACTAATTACAAGCCACAAGTCGCTTTTCCTTGTTCCTTTTAGGTTTATTTCTCACGTAACCTATTAAACTACACACCATTTCTTCAATAATTAGTTTCCATTGAAGGGGACAATCTACCTGCAAAGGACTCCATAATTTCAAACTTTGATTTGACTGTATAAGAAATTAAGTTCATCGTATATATCAGACTCAGAACTTGCAGTTTACGTAGTTGGTATGTACTCTTTTATGTACTTTTATAATACTTAACAGGTGTCTCTCTCTGTGTTGTTTAACTTAATTTACATAAATAAGCAATACATGTTAGCAATTTGAGAAGTAAAGTGGATTTTGAAAATAGTCCACAGGAGAGGAACATAACAAGAACAACCGAGATTTTATACACGCACTTATTTACTTCCAATTTAATTCAGTTTTTATTCCTTTTTTTTCAACATTCTATTAGACACCTACCAACCTGGTTTCTCCAATTAAAATACCTCAAATTCGTTAGGAACAAACACCTTTCTTTTATATCGAACGACGCATAGATTTTATGACTTTATTTGAAATTTAATCATTATGTATTGTTAACATATAATTTTCTTATACTATGATTCAAGGTTGATCCGTACCTAGTCATAAATTGATGCCGGGGCCCAGGCCATGGGATGAATAGTATCAACAGTATCAGAAGGCTGTGAAATTTGGGGCTCATTAAAAAGTAAGTTTTGTCGTTTTTTAGCCTCTTGGAATCGTTCGGATGATTTTTTGGACCTTTTTATTTTTATTTTTTAGGGGTGTTTTTGCAAGTTTCTGAAGTTTTGGGACTTTTTACTTTTCTGATAATTGTTTAATTTTCCTTTTTTCTTTGATTTTTTGGATTAGGTTTTTTTGGGGAAACTATTTAAAGGTTGGTTCAACTGCAACATAGACAGTTTTTTTATTATTATCAATAAACAACATATTAAGAACTTTGTGTGGTTTTTTTATCCAATCTAGTATTTGAATCTTGATACAATTCGGTGGTGGTTATTTGTATCACTTGTTGATTTTCAGGTTTTAGTCATCTCTGTAAATTTATGTAAAAAAGACATAAAACATTATTACTTTTCAAGTATATACTTTTCAAGTATGTATGCCCGTATGCATTACATGAATGGTTTTAGGTGTAATAAAAATAAGTTTTGGTAAGCAGTAGCTCTTTTATTGATAGTATATTATCTGATGAGCTTGCAAAATAAACCCATTGAGCTTATAAATGCTTGATTGGCCCAATTCGTACAATGGGTCTAGGTTGGAGTACTCATTAATGACGTTTTGTGTTGTATTTATAGCTAGGGACCGGCGTTTGCCCCGACCCCGTGGGGATCTGGCCCAACCCAACCCAAATGGGGCAAGGAATCCCCAGAAATGTCAGGGATAAGGTTGGGGACGGTCCTTAAAAAAATCCCCGACCTACCCCGTCACCACCACACCCTCCCGGTTGGAGCCCCACCTTCTTTTATTGAGAATTTTATGTTTTTTTTTCTTTGCAAGATTGCATATAATGTTCAAGTATAAATTTATGATATTTACTTTTATAATACTTTCTAATATTTGTATTAAATTTATAGAAAAAATAATTTAAACGAGAGAGTCTAATAATTAAATATATGTATTATCACTTTGTGAATTTCACAAAATAATAATACATGGCCCAAAAAAAAATTTGATTGTTTATTACAATTTACCAATCCAATATAAGAATATTCATAATTGTTTAATGACTTATAAATTACACAAATTCAATTATCCTTGTAATTAATTAATTGGTCAACTAAATATGATGTTAAACTTAATCAATGTTGAGAACTTGGGATAATGGGATTTGTCCCTTTCACAAATGGACTAATTTTATTAGTTATAGTAGAGATAGTGTTTTATGAACTAATTCATCAATTTACGTAGTAAATTATGAATTTAGTTATATTAATTTTGAGAAAAATTAATTAATTAACAAGGCTAACTAAGCCTAAACCTCCATACAATTGAATAATAAATTAATTTATCTAATAAATTATGTTAAGATTAGATATAGATATATTTATTTTATAAAAAATTAATTAATTAACAGGGTTGATTGAGCCTAATTGGCTAAGCCTTCATACAATTAAATAAGTAATCAATTTAGCTAGTAAATTATGTTAAGATTGAATTTAGTTATATTAATTTTATGAAAAACTAATTAATTAATAGGACAAACTAAACCTAAGCCTCCCTACAATTGAATAATTAATTAATTTACCTAATAAATTATGTTAAGATTAGATATAGATATATTTAATTATGTTCAAGGAAAAATTCCCGTGGGGCAAATTTCTCTATGAAACCTCGCTCATTGAGTTGGGCCAGGATGGGGATGGGAGTGATTCCATCCCCACGGTCCGGGGAGGGTCATGAGAGTTGTCTCCGCAAGCTGGGACGGGTCGAGGACAATCATGAGAGTGGATATCAGAGACGGGGATGAGGAATGTGGTCCCCGGCCTGCGCCCATCCCTATCTATAGCCATAAGAATTTGAATCCCAAACTATAGATATATTTTGGGTGAATGTTGCTTTTTATAAAACTCAAAAGTAAATAGGTGTAGACTAGATTTAAAATGGAAAAATCTTTTAAATTATATCTAAGCTGATATAATTTATACTAAAGTGAACTGGCGGCCGAATGGTGCGGTGTGACAACCTCACGAGAATTAAGGCCCATCAAGTAGGAGTTTATCACTTCTCATTTTGCTAGCTAATAGTAGTTTGAGTCAGTTTATAAAAGCTTATGTCCCTTCCACTAAGTAAAAACAAACTCTCGCACGATAGACTCATTATGAAGAACAACTTCTACTCAAGTTGGTCCAACCTAATACATATTAATTTGAAGCATCATCTATAAACCTAACCACTCCCAGTATTTGCCCAATTTTGCACTTCTATTTTTGCAAAGAGTTCTTTTTTTTTTTTTTTTTTTTTTTTTATCTTTATGTAAATAAAGTATATCAGAGTAATCAAAATTTTTGTTTGCTTGTAATGTTTATGTGTATCTTAAAGCATATATTTAGACAATTCTTTTACAAATTAAATTAGTAAATAAGAATAGTTTCTTAATATTTGTGGATTTGTTTTTATTTTTCCCAAAAAACAATTTAATTTGATATTAGCCACGAATGTAAGTTGATGGATATTAAAAATGATTCAGTTTTGAATAGATAGATTGATTAATTGGTATTATTTTCTCACATTTCAATATACTAAAATCACGAAGGTTTACTATCTTCATTGACTTTCTGGGTTCAAACTATATTGGGGTCACCTATCACATATTTGTGGGTTTGTTTTTATTTTTCCCAAAAGGCAATTTAATTTGGTATTAACCACCAAAATGGAAGTTGAAGGGTATTCAACATGCTTTAGTTTTGAATAGATCAGACTGATCAATTGGTATTATTTTCTCATATTTCAATATGCTAAAATCATGAAGGTTTGCTCTCTTCGTTGATTTTCTGGGTTCAAACTACCTTGGAGTCACCTACCACATATTTGTAGGTTTGTTTTTTATCTTTCCCAAAAAAGCAATTTAATTTGATATTAGCCACCAGAAATGAAGTTGATGGGTATTCGACATGATTCAGTTTTGAATAGATTAGATTGATTAATTAGGTATTATTTTCTCATATATCAATATGCTAAAATCATGAAGGTTTGCTCCTCTCATTGACCTCCTGAGTTCAAACCACCTAAGGGTTACCTACCACATATTTGTGGTTCATCTTGGAACATTGAGATTGTAAAGTGTTCAATGAGCTCTGTAGATTAGTTGAGGTGCGCACAAACTATGGCCCAGACAACTTGATCATATAAAAAAAAAAATCGTGAAGCATCAAATGACAAAATCTACTAGCTTATATTATATGATTGAATTTTGAATTGCTTACCAATAAGGCAATAACAAGAATATTCAACATAAACTAGGCTTCTAGTTATTAATAGAAGGAGAAATATTCTTTTAACAAGAGCATATAATCCTTTATCTAAATATAGAGCTAGGATTGTTTTGCAGGCCCAAAATATTAAGTAGTAATACAGACAAAAAATAGAAAGGTAAAATCAAAGTGCTATTCACCAAAAGTGCAGAAAATTCCAGAATTAAAGAAGGCTTTCGTAGAAAGTTTTGGGCTTTGCCGACCTTTTAAAGCCCATGACTCCATGATTGAGATTTGGTGGCGTCAACGAGGTCTCAGTAGTCAAGAAAGCACCAACTTTCTTTTGGTGATTGATGAAATTGAAATAGGAGATAAAATAAAAGGCAGAACGTCTTGGTACGTGTTTTTAACTTAGAAAGAAGGGACGGATAAGATGGGTTTTCTAAAAGATGAGAAGACGCTATCTTCGATTAACACAAAAATGAACATCACCATTCACCAACCCAAAACAATTGCATCGCTATAAGGCAAATCAGAATTCCAAATCACAAGCCACAACCTTCTTTATGTTGTAAAGTTTTTGAGAGTTTTGCTAATGGGACACACACACACTCATCATCATTCCCTTCAACTCACCCTTTGGTTTCTTTCTGACACTACAACTACAAAGGAGGGGCAGTCAACATTTTATTAGCTGGCTATAAATTTTTTGATGAAGTATTTTCAAAACACATTCTGAATGTGTATTTACTGTTTTAAAATGTTTTGCTGAGAAGCATTTTTGTTGACACTGAGCAATGTTTCAATGCTTTCCAGGCAAAAAAGGAGAATACTTTTTCATATTTCCGTCATCAAGGCTCCAATA